CCAATTCTTTATAAACATGCAAAATGGATTCATATATGTATATGTGTGTGTGTGTATATATATGGATCTGTTCTGAATGTATTTTATATTATATGCAAAATGCATTCATATATATATGGATGGATGCAAAATGGATTCATAAATATACATGGATCTGTTCTGTATACATTTTGTATTATATATGTATAAAATGTACCAAATCATATAAGTGAAAACACAGTAAAGAAAATACTAGAAAATGAGAAAATATCAAAACCAGTTTTTAAACATTTTAGGTTATGTATTAGTTTCTTAGAACTGCTGTCACAAGGAACCACAGAGTGGCTGAGAACCACAGAAATTTGCTTCATGGTTCTGGAGACTGGAAGTCTAAGCTCCAGGTGTCAGCAGGGCCATGCTCCCGTGAGCCTCCTTCCTTGTGTCTCCCAGCTGCTGCAGTACTAGTGTCCCTTGTCTCGTGACAGCATAGCTCCAGCCTTCACGCAGCCGCCCCTCACGTCGCTTTGTGGAGCCTTCCCTCCGTGCTTGTGGGTCTCTGTACCCACACCGCTGCTTTCTTATCAAGGACACCAGCCATACTGGATGAGGAGCCACTCTAATGACCTCTTTTTCACTTCATTCTCTCTGTAAAGATCTCATTTCCAAATAAGGTCACATTTTGAGGAACTGGAGTTAGTTCATTGTAATTTGAATTAGAGAATGCGAAGAGGTGGGTATTTCTGTTCAAAATTGCTAAATCTTATAAATCATCTTCCTGATCTAACGCACATAATTCTGACCGAATGTTTTTTAATGTGAAGAAGTGTGCATGTATGTGAGGGTGTGTGTGTGAGAGAATGGGGACATGCGTATAGTCCTGAGAGTACCATCATTGTGTTGACAAGCACTTTACTTTTGTCTTTGCTATAGTCAGAGAAAATATGATAAGGGACAAAATTAGATGATACTCCCATATTCCTAACATCGTCCTCGAACATTAAACCAAATGATACTTTGGGCTTAGAAAGTCCAAATCTATCTTACTCAGCTGAAATTTCCACCTGGAGTGTGCATAATGTCTTGCTAAAAATTGAATAGAGAAATAGTAAACTTTCAGTTTTCTCGGCAGAATTATTCTGAGTTGTGCTAAAATAAGACGTTGGAAGAACACAACTTATTTTCCGATGTCAAAGGGAGTGATTTTTAGGGGAAATAGGTAACTTTTAACTGAGGAATCAACAGCCTTGATGGGGGAGTTTTCAAGAAAGTGCAGGAGAGTGGTACTATTGCCACCTGCCACTTTTTCTGTCACATTTGTCTAAACACATAAGAGTAAATCTGGTCAGCCATAGCTACAGACTGCCGAATATATAATGTCTGCTTGGTGTTGATCCTTTTCTGTTCTGAGCTCCAGTTGAATTTACTTTATAAGAGCTCTGGACTATTAGAAAATTTTCCTTCCCATCAAGTTAGCTAAAATGCCTATTTGGATTATAGAAATAGGTTTCTAATTTCCCTATGTCTCCTACTCAAAATCAGAACAGTTTAATTTTCCAAATACGCAGCTGTGTTTGAATCACATTCCTGCTCAAAAAACTCTGTGTACGTCAACTTATAAAATTAGGTTAAACTCCATCTCACATGCAAGGTCATTTGTAAGATTGTTTCAGTCCATGTGTAAGATACACATTTATACTACTTTTACTGGTGGTCCATATTAACGTCCAGCCTGCATGAGCCAAATCAAATGAAGCATAATTGAACTCTAGGATCTTAGAGGTTCAGGTGATGATAGAAACCCACCTCCCCTCTCTCATGTTGACAAATAGACTAAATTTTTAGTATTTCTTTTAACTCCAGTGTTCTGAAAGCTTTACAAAAATAATTGCTTTTATTATAGTGTGAATCTTCTTAATTATATGTTTCCTTCTTTCCTCCCTTTCTTTCTTTCTTTTTCTTTTTATTATACAACTTTCTTCTCTTGAGGACTTCTTGTAAGTTTGCAAATTCATCCCAGAAATGTAGAGAACAATATTGAACAGTGTATTCCAAACTGGATTTGACTTACAAATACCACAGTTATAGATGATTCTGCATTCATATGCTCTTCACTTTTCTATAAATTCCTTTATTTTTTCTTTAAAAAGTGATACAACAACTTTCTGAATTGGTATTCAAATAAACACACACTTATTTATTCTACAATTTAAATTTTAGGGTTTTTAAAAAATCTTACATAGTTATACCATTCTGACGATAATCATTCTACTTCACCATTCTTTTATCTGAGCAGACCATTTGAACTTTGTGCATAAATGTAATCTTCCAGTTTGTTTGTGTTTGGAAATTCTAATTATATTCTTTCATCTTTGTTTCTAACAGGAGCTTAATTGGTGTTTTAGGCAACTGACTTGATAATAGGGAAATGTTTTTCAATGAATTTTCCAATGTGCACCAGAGAAAAACAAATTGATGAGAACAATTTAAAAAATCAATTTTAAATAATTATGACAGAAAATTGAGACTCAATATAATTGTAAAAAACATAGAGCAAATGTAACAGAAATGATAGTCAAACATTAAAAGTTAAATGAAACTTTCCTCAGGCAAAAAAAGACAAGGTAGAAGAATAAAAAGCAATCTAGAAGTACCCAGGTAGAGCAGTAGAAGAGAAAAAAGAACTTACATACAATAGAGACAAAATTTAACTGGCTGCAGACTTCTCAGCAACTCTAAATGTTAGATGGCAATGGAGAAATGTATGTAAAATTTTGAAAGGGAAAATACTGTAAAGAATTTTTTTCTCATCCAAGCTGTCTTTCTTGGGTAAACAATCATAAGACACTTTCAGTTACACTAGGACTTAAAAATATACAGTATTCTTTTTAAAGTACTTAGATTTGATGGCCAGCAAACTGAAAAATTGAGTAAGAGCCCAAGAATAAAAAATTATGCATACAGTGCCTGACTATAAGCACTCAAACCAAATAAGCATAATATAGGCATGTATAGTGTTATTATTAATCTAGTTACAAAAGCTGAATGCAAATGTTAAAAATGATACTTAAAGAGAAAAATCTAATTCTAAATAGCCCTCCAATTCCTACATCCAATTAACAAATATTGGGAAGTAGTTAGGCAAGAGTAATGAGTGAATAAATAGATAGATACATAGATAGATAGATAGATAGATAGATAGATAGATAGATAGATAGATAGTAAATATTTCCCCTCCCTTTGTGTGTAAATGTTTGTGTGTGTGTGTGAGCACATACCAAAAGTACTTGATA